TGTGTCTCCTGCTCCATTCATGGAGGAAAGCTTTTCTCATCTAAGCTGGCTGTGCCTTAAGTGAGAATTTCTTGATAACTCCTCCTTCCTCAGACATTGATTAAGCATCAGTGGTGGTAATGTTTGTTGGAGCTGCAATTCCACTCCTCCTTCCAATTTTGCTGCTCTAAGCTTTGAAACCTGTTTGTGTTTAAAGAGAGGAGAAATCTGCGGAGCCATAGGGCATCTTCAGATTGTTTTAAATTTAGCCTTTAAGTTTACTCACTGCTTAAAGGACTCTTAAGCTTTGAAGTTCTTGTTAAAGCTCCCTGCCAAGTTCTGCTTCCGATGTTGCTGTCAGGAAGATGCTGGTAGCAGGTCAATTCTTGATTGTACCCTGGAGCAGGAAGTTCAGACTATACGTTACACTGCCAGCATCTCCTAAAACTTCTAAGTATTGACACAGAATCCTGGTGGAGGGTGTGAAAACTGGCACAAATGGTGCGAGACGGAGCCACTGTCTGTGCCAAATTACAATGTGTATCTGTGCATATTGGCATCTTCTCTTGGGCACTTGTTCGCCATCCAACATTTGGGGGAATTTCACTGATTTTCCTTTTTGCAGACATCAGTGCAAGTTCCAGCCCCAGCAGCTGGTGTTATTGAAGCCCTTCTGGTACCCGATGGTGGCAAAGTGGAAGGGGGGACACCTCTGTTCAAACTCAGGAAAACTGGAGGTGAGTCAGGCGTGTATAACTTGCAAAGGTCTTTCTGTTTCCCCCAGTCTTTTTCTGAAGATGGAGGCAAGGCATTTAGAGGGATCCTGAGAGAGGTGAAATGTTTCCTCCACCTGCATCTGTAGCTGGTGGAAAATACTCCAGTGGGGTATTGGAGACAACAAATTCTGTTGTCCATTAGAAAAGCATAGTTTTAGTCCTTCTGAGAGGGGAACTTTTCCTTTTGCTCCCTCCAAAAGAGACTGCAGCTCTAATCTAAAATTAGTTGAGAACCCCCCTGATATAAGTCCCTTCTCCACCCTCTTCTCTTTAGCATCCAGTCTCCTGCACAGTGAGGAGAGCTAGGGTGTCGATGAGTAAAATGCTTTCACCATGGGATCCTCCTGTGGTGGCTCCTATTGGTTCAGTCGTGCTGAGGACATAAAGGCACTCTGCCAGAGGGTTAACTTCTATCAGGTTGGTTGGACTCGGAGATCCCTGACAATGGGTTGCCCTTACCATGGTTCTTCCTTGTCTTTAAGCTGCTCCTGCCAAGGCCAAACCAGCAGCAGCCCCTCCTCCTCCTGCAGCCCCTGAACCTGTAGCTGCGGCTGGTCCTCCTCCTGCTGCAGCACCAATTCCCACTACAATGCCACCAGTGCCGCCTGTGTCAGCTCAGCCCATTGACAGCAAACCAGGTGAGGCAACAACTGTTTTCTCCTATTCTCTTCCTTGGGGAGAGCGCGTAAGGTTAAAAACGGCAAACAGCTTGGCGTTTATGGTGAAGGCCTCCCCGCCTTATTGCCCTCAGCTATTCCTGGTACCTGCGCAGCCCAGTTCAAGGCTGTTTCCATGCTGCGTTGCTTGAGCAAGGAGCTCAAACGGGCTTTCTACTTCAGGGCGTTGCAATGAAGCCCTGGCTTCCCTTTTTGACTGATGTGTTCTTTACCCTCAGTGTCTGCAGTGAAGCCGGCTGCAGCCGCAGCAGCAGCCCCTCCTGGGGAGGCAGTGCCCAGCAAAGGTGCCAGATCAGAGCATAGGGTAAGCTGCGGGGATAGGGGCCTTGCCAGCACTTCTGTTGCTGGGTGACAACTTGTTCTGGCATAAGCTTTGAGCTTTCTGGATGTGTCAATATCTACCTGTTCACACCCAGCTCGGTGGGGCTGTGACAGACGGGGACTGCTCTACTTGAGGGCACTGCTTAGGGTTGGAGTGGAGGAAAAGCCAGCTCCAATCTGACACAGGTCTTTTCTAGGCAAAAGTCTTGTCTTGAACTCTCCTGACCGAGCACAGAAGGCTCAGTGTGATCTGCTTGGTCTGTCCACAAGCCCTCCACAGAAGACTGAGGCTGGCACACCTGCCTTGTGCGTTCTTAAGAGAACATGGTTGAGCAGCCTGCTTTCTTAGCAGTCTCGCTCTTTGCACATTAGCCTCATGCTGGAAACTGTGTGTTGAGCTGGTCAGCTCCATAGTGAAATCAACTCCTCAGCCTGTCACGCTCCTCATGGAGATCTGGAGTGAAAACCTTGGCCCTAGGCATCCACTACTAGTCAACTAGATGGCAAGAAGAACGGTCTTTTGAGTTTCTTCTGCATTTTGCCCCTTGGATGAACTTGAGGCAGCTTCTGCTTATATCTTTTTAATTTTCAGGTGAAAATGAATAGGATGCGTCAGCGTATTGCTCAGCGGCTGAAAGAAGCTCAGAATACTTGTGCCATGCTGACCACTTTCAATGAGATTGATATGAGGTGAGGAGCAGACCTCTTTTTCCCCTTTACAAGGCAAAATAGATGCAGGCAATCATCTTTAAATAGCAGCCAAGACCTTGCTGATTCTCTTTGGAGAGATTGGCAACACATCTTTTGGGACCTCTTAGGTGTGTACCACCATCTGCTCAGCTTCATCAGGGCGATGGTGGTGGTGTGGTGTGAGGGGTACATAGCTTCCTGACGTCCTGTCGTTCCTTGGGAGTCATCTGCTGCTTGTAAAAGGGGCAACCTGGTTCCTCATCTGTGTGGTTCTTGGTTGAGGAGTGGTAGATGTTGAGCACGAGAGCAGGAGTGACTAGTGTCACATGTATAGCGGCATTAGATGGAGCATCTGCTTTCTGCTACCCTGCCAGGTTACTGCTGTTGGAGGTGGGCATATTTAGCTTCCATGAGGTGGTTCCCCAGGGCTCATCAGCCTTTCAGGTGAGCAGTACATAGGCCTGAGGCCCCTGCTCTCAGATGCTGCAGCTTTCCAGAGAGGGACTAAAATCCTTCCCCATCCCCTCTGGGCAGGTGGGGGTCTCCTGACTCAAGTGCTTGCAGGGACTGAGCGCACTAATGGCTTTGGAAGGTGGACAGCTTATGTTACAGTGCATTAAGGGGAAATTGTGCCCAAATCAAATTGCCTTTTGAAATCCTATTCTGCTCCTTAAGACAAAACATGTAAATATTTGGGTCTCAGAACAATAAGGTTGGCAAAATAGTCTTGATTGGAGGGGAAGTGCTGCAGCTTTATCTCCTCTCAGAGGCTCGTTGAGGTGTCGCTTTACGCTGGCCTCAGGCTCTTATTGCATCTGGTAATCTGGTTTGGATTGATTGCTGTGAGGTTGACTGGTGAGGGCCTGTGCTGGGGCCTCCTGCTTCCCACGGGGGGTCAATGTCTGAAAGGAGGAAGCCATAATGAGCCAGTTTCATAGCAAACCTCGTCCTCATTGCTGCAGTCCTTGTGTCTTGGGAGGCACTAATGTCTTTGGGCGGTAATCCTAGCCCTAAACAAGGTTAGATGCAGGAAAACAAACACTCTAAACCATGGAGGGAGACCCCTGTCCCTTGCTGAAACTGTCTCTTCAAAGACTCAAGGTCTCTGGAGGGGGAGGGATGGACCGTGCAATTCCACAGCATCTGGTATTAGCCTGGAATAGGCAGAGCTTGTAGCCACAGCTTGGTTGATTTTTTTGTAAATGGCCTCTGTTCTGATAAATAGAAGCAGTGGGGAAACTGATTAGTCTGGTTGAGGGAGGGCTGTGGGTGGGCTGGCACCCACTGTCATAGCACCTGGGAAGCTTTCTTTCATATTCACTCAACTCCCAAAGCCAAAGAGTTGGGTACGGAGGCATCGATGTGCTGGTTGAAGTCTTTTGCCTTGATCACCATGTGCATCTCTTCTGCTCTTGGCATTTCCTGCTTTTTCACCCTTCCAGGGCTGGCCCAGCCACACCTGTAGCTGCTGCCTGCGGTGCCGCACTGGTATTGGCAGTGGTGTCTCCAGAGAATTGGCAGCAACATCAGGCCTAAGCAGGAAAATACACCGTGCTCCATCTTGCTTTTGTGCTTGGCAGTGTGGGCCAAGCAGATTAACCCTGTCCTGTTGAGTTTGTGGTCCAGGACCAGTGCCTGTTAGATACTTTGGTGAGGTCCTTAGAGCCACCCTCAACCCGTTTTACCTGTGACATTTGAAGGATTTTTCAGCAGACTGGGGGTTTGCCAGTTGGTGGTGCAGGTTTGCAGTCCTTGGAGCTGGCACTGAAATCTGTGACGGAGTGAGGGAACACTGTTTTCTTGGACTCTGTGCTGACCAGCATTATCATGTGTTTTGTAGCAACATCCGGGAGATGAGAGCCGTACACAAGGATCCCTTCCTGAAAAAGCACAACCTGAAGCTAGGTTTCATGTCAGCTTTTGTGAAAGCTGCGGCTTTTGCTCTGCAGGACCAGCCCGTTGTGAATGCAGGTGAGTGGTGACCCTTGCTGGCGAGTTGCACATCTCACCAGTGAACGTGGCAGACTGGGGGAAAGCAGGTGGCTAAGTCCGTGGCAGGGCTAGTAGCTTGGGCAAGCAAGTCAAATATGCAGAAAAAGGGGAGACAATCCTACATGCTGCAGCTGATTTTGCTGATGCCACTTACATAGGTAGAGGACAGCTTGCCAAGAAGGGCTCTATTAGGAGGGGGTTGCCAGGAGTGGGGCTGGGGCCACGCGTAGCCAGCCTGCAGAGGGAAGAGCCTGCTGGTTAGCATGGAGGTAGCTGCTGCAGGTGCCGTGTGGTTCCTGGGAGGGTGTCAGAGAGGCTTGCTCAGACCCAGAAGAGGAGAACAACCAAGGGGATGTCTGAGGGGGACTGGCCTACCTGGACTGTGTTTCTGTCTATTCTGATGCTTCTCCCACAGGTGCAACGAGGGCTCATTCTTCTCTGGAGTTACGTTTAAGCTAGAGATGAGCAAGTTGTTGTAATTTTGTGGCTACTTCTGGCCTCTTGAGCCCTTGATCTTGGGTACTGCGTGTGTAACACAGCTTTTTTCTCCTCCTAGTGATTGATGACACGACCAAAGAGATTGTGTACAGGGACTATGTGGACATCAGTGTCGCTGTAGCAACTCCTCGGGTAGGTACCTGGGATGCTTTGGCCATGGTTCCTGCAGCCTTGGGTCTGGGATGATTGTATACTTTGAACCAGCTCAGCTTTGAGCTCCTCTGCAGCGGAAACTTACTGATGAGACTGATCTTCTAAATGAGGCATCTGATGCATTGTGGACTGCTGAGATGGGTTTTGGGGGAAGATGAAGGACCAAGAATACTCTGCCACTGTACTAGGAGATGTAGTAACAAGGTCAATACAGATGGTGGTGGTTAATGAGTAGGGCTGAGTTAGGGAAACCCTTTTTTTCGTGGACCTATGAGGATATGGCATAGAAAGCGAAAGCTTTGCATGTCCTGTCCTTTGGCTAACGCTGCTGTGCTGTCCCACCATTTCTGTAAATCACATTGCTGCTTTAAAGAGATATTCCTGTCCAGGGAGAGCATGAGATGGAGATACAGATGTTGAATTAGTTGGCTCTAATTCAGTTCTGTCACTGCTCCCAAAGCCTAGGGGAGGTCCAGCACAAAGGGATTCTGCTCTTCTCACCTAGAAAGAGCTCTGCCCGGCTCTGCCCAGGGCCTCACCTGCTTTTATGGATGTGGAGCTGGATCCAGTCAGGCTTGGTTGATTTTATGAGACGGGCTTACTAAAACCAAAAAATGTCTCATTTACAGTGCCAGCCCTTGGTGTGTGTCATGCCAGGTTTCCCGGCAGGCTGCCAGGGTGTGAGGCAGCTCTGCCAACCACCTGCTGTGGGCCGAGGAGGAGGCAGGAACTCTGCTGGGCTGAAGCCAGGTTCCTGCCCGATAACAGTTACGTGTGTTGCTGCGGTGAATTTGTTGATCGTGCACTTTGCTTCTCCCTAGGGTCTTGTGGTCCCCGTCATTAGGAATGTAGAAAATATGAATTTTGCTGACATAGAGCGTGCTATCTATGAGTTGGGGGAGAAGGTAAGCAAAATTAGAGGTTTTTCTGAAAAGGATTGGGAGGAATGGGAAGAATTGGGAGTGCTGGATAGGCGTGAATTGATTCAGTCCGTCTGACCTCTAACACACTGAGTCATGCTGTGGGGAGTGATCCAGTTACAGCTGTGGCTGTGCCCCTGCCTTATGGGACAGGCCTATCTACTTGTTGCCGTTCCAGAAGACCACAAACCGTGCTTTAGTGACGTCGTGTGTCTTCATCTTTGTCTTTAGAGGCCAAGGCTGAACCGGCCTGGGGTAGAAGTCCCAGTGTCCATCTCCTGCAAAGGCAGGAATTGGAAGCGAAGGCAAGGGAATCCTTCACCAAAGCCAGTAAACATTTGGATCTAAAGACAGGATGCATTTTCAAGTAATTCGTGCTGGTTTTCAGCTGAACAGTGAAGCTCTTGCCATCTGTATTTGTTTCTGGAGAGGCTGAACATCCAAACCTTTGTCCTTTGCCTTCTGTGATCTATGTGGCTTTCTAAGACCTTACTTTCTCTTCTAGGCACGGAAGAATGAACTGGCCATTGAAGACATGGATGGTGGCACTTTCACGATCAGCAACGGAGGGGTTTTTGGGTCACTCTTTGGGACACCTATCATCAACCCACCACAGTCTGCCATCTTAGGCATGCATGCCATCTTCGACAGGCCTGTGGCTGTGGGAGGCAAAGTAGGTGGAGTTGCACAGGGGGTTTCAGTGAACAAAGGGGAGGGCTCAGTGGGATGAGGACCATAGCCCACAAGCTTTTTCTAGGGGGTTGGTGTCAAGTTCTAAAAGTCTTTACTGTGAAAGAGGAGCAGAGACTAATGGGTGACGGGCAGCTTTGCTAGCACTGGTACTTCCCTGAGGTGTGGAAGGGGTCTTGTCCTATCTATGAGGGGGAGAACTGGATAATCTGCTTTGGTGTGGGGAGGAGTAGGAGGCTGTAGCCTTTGTGATAGAGAACAGCTGCAGAAAGGGACCTAGTTTTGTGTGGTGCGGATCCAGCCTGGGTGGTGATCAGTGCTTGGGTGGGTAGGTAATCCTGCCAGGCAGGACACATCCAAGAGGGCCTAAGCCCTGGATTCAGGATAGGAAAAAGCCAGGTCTTCCCCGAATTCGCAGGAGGGCATCACACAGGCAGCAGGGGTGAGCTCACTAATGCCTGTCTTTTATTCTTCCCCTTCAGATCGAGGTGCGGCCCATGATGTACGTAGCGTTGACATACGATCACCGACTGATTGACGGCAGAGAGGCAGTGACTTTCCTGCGCAAGATCAAGGCAGCGGTGGAGGATCCCCGCGTGCTGCTGCTCGACCTGTAGAGCAGCCACACCCCCACACAACCCACCCAGGGCAGGGCCGCAGCACCAGCAGGAGCGACACAGGGCATTCAGGAACTGGCAGGGGTCATTCCAGTCTCCCTCCCTCTGCTGTGATCAGAGCTTTCCCGGAGGGAATTGTGGGGATAGCTCCTACCTCCTTTCCTGTTCTGTTTAACGAAGGTTCACTTTCTCACAAGGATTGCTATGCAGTGGGCCAACCACTGAATGGCACTGCCTTTCCAGAGCCGTCTATATGGCATCCTCTCACTCACAGCACCAAACTCTCACCTCTAGTTTGTCCTGTACCACTGGAAACTGCTTGCTGCTCCTGTGCTAGGGTACCCTTCCCTGCTGCTCCACAGCAGGTTCAGCTTTATTTCCTAGCACTGAGGTTCTTGGGAGGGAGAGGAGAGGAAAGGCTACTGTTGTGTCCCTGTTTTGCTTGAAAATATTTCATGCTCGTCTGCCTTGCAAGGGCAGTCTGGGGACCCCCAGGCTGCTTGCAGCATAGGTTTTGATCAGAGCAGGGCTTGAGGTAGGCTTCATGCCTCTGGCAGTGCCCTAGTTACACTCCCTCCACGGCCAGGAACGCAGCAGCAGCAGCTCCCCTGCTTTCCCTTGGAGATCCTTTGTCTCTCTCCAGCCTGGTCACTGTGGTGTGAATGTTCGTGTCCAGGTGGGCAGAGCCTGTGACCTCTGTGGAGGTAGCACTGTTCCTGGGGGTACAACCCTTTCACCATTACATGCCCAACACAGGGGGGTAAGAACCAGCCCCCAGCAGCTGTCCTGGAATCACAGCTCACGGACGGTGGATCCGACTGCTGGCTTCCTGCGTGCGAGGCCTTGGCGTGCTACCAGCAGAGACAGCTGGGGAGGGCCAGCTCTTTAAGTGTAATGTATATCCCAGCCCAAGGCTGCTGGTTTTGGGGGGAGGGGGGCAGTCCTTAATCTGATAGCGCACACATATATTGGGGAGTGAGGGGGTTGCTAGTGCCTGCAGAGTCTATTACTCTTACCCTCTACACAGAACTTGTAACTAAAATATTTAACACAGCGGATTTTAAATGAAATAAAACTGGGCAATGACTGCGAGGTGGGGTGTGTTTGAGGGGGTGAGCAGCAGCTCCTGGGTGAGGACTCTGGCATCAGCAGCATCCCTAGAGTTGTGTAAGAAGCCTCTTACCTGGTGGTGAGAGAAAAGGGAATGGGAGCTGGGCCTGTCCCTGGTGGTACTAAATGATGCCTCTCTGGCTGTGAACTCTGTCCTTAAAAACTCTTTGGCACTGAATTGGCTCTCCCCAGCAATTATGAGGTTTTCAGGGCTGGAAATCATCCTTTTCTTGGTCTAGCAACAGAACTGTTGAGAAGGCAAGGAAATCCCAGTGTTTGCAAAATGGTGTGATGGCCAAGAGGGAGAACTGGGACAGGTTCTTAAAGTACAGGTGTGGAGCCAGGTTGGTTTTCCCTGCTACAACGGCAGAGCGTTGTAAATCATGCAAGTTTGAAAAAGGCTGTTAAGGGTTGCAGAGGCAGAAAGGAGAGATCAAAGAACAACTGTAAAGCAAAAGCTGTCTGTTTTGTGGTGCTGAGAGTATTTCCCTGAGGAGCTGTCCCTGTTGGAACAACATGAAATTGTTCCTAGATCATGGTAGGGTTTTTCCAGCTCTGACATCAACTTCAGAGAATGGGTTGCCCTTCCTGACTACGAGTGAAGGCAGCAGCCCCTTTTAACAGAAAACGATTGCACTCACAGCTGTTGTGCTGACAAAAGGGAAAGCAGTTCCTAGTACTGGTTCCTACGGCTTCCTGGCAGCTATGGACAAACCTGGGTGTGGAGCCAGCTTTCCTCTGACTGTCCCTGGCTGAAGTAGAAGATTAGGAGGTGAGAGAGGAAAAACCTTTTCCCTATGCTGGAAAGGAAGGGAAAAGAGTCTAGTTGCTCTTGTACAAATAAATAGAGTGACAGAGAAGGTTCTGTTTAAAAAAATGCTGCTAGCACCGAGTCCCCAGCCTGGTTTAGGATACAGAGGGCCCACCTTGACTTTGTACATGAGCCTGGAGAAGAGCAATGCTTGTATTCTGTCTGGAGCTGCAATAAATGAGGCCTTTGAACTACCCAGGGGGTGAATGTACAGTCAAGCTGTTAAAATGATGTAGCCTAGCAAACTCCTTTATTTGATCTGCTTGCTGTAGGAGGGTCATTTAGCTGCTGTGCTTGAAGCTTCCTTTTTTGACCCTCCTGGGTGATGCCCAGGGGACTTTGTTGCAAGAAGTTGTGCTATGGCTTCGGCCACTGAATCACAGGACAAGGATGCTGGTGGCCAAGCAGGGAGCCTGCTGCTGGAGGGTTCAGCCAGTGCAGCCTGCCCTAGAGAGGAAAAGCCCCAGGCTTAGCTGCCACTGCTCTCTGGCCTGCTTTGGCATTTGTGGTCAGCTGCTTGGTTAGTCCTCTTGCTTCTGCACAGCCTTCCAGGTGTCTCCTGCCTTTGCTGGGGTGGGAGAGGAGTTTGTCCCAGGCTCTGCTTCCCTCTGGTGGACAAGCTCTCCTGCTGCTGCCCAGGAGACAGGCTGAGTCGGCAAGGAGCAGGGTCTTACTGCTGGTAACAAGCAGGAGCTGGAACCAGCTAGCCACAGAAAAGTTTCACTAGTGCCAGTAGTTCCTTATTCTCAGGGATGAGTGAGCAATGGGAGGGAGTGCTGGGAGAAGTGGGCCAAAAATTTACTGCTGCCATTGCTAGCTGGTCCTTCAGCCTGTGGCTTTGACTTGCACAAATGAGCACAGCAGCTCCTGGTTTGGGCTGTTAGCAGACACATGTTCACACTTCTTTAATCCTGGCTTGTATTTACTCTTAGCATCTTACATCAGTGCTGGTTCTCACAGTTCATCCCTTTAAACCCTCATTTGTTCTACCAGGCATGTCCATGCTCAGAGCACAGCAACAAGGCTACTGTCCTGCCAGCGGAGAGGAGCACCCAGGCATGGGGGGGTGGGGGCTGGACCCAGAATCGGTAATGACAACAAAAGGCAAGGCTGGAAGAAAACACGGACACTCTGGGCATTTTCCCAACTGTGAGCTGCAGCCATATGGCGGTGAGGATCCAAGAGGTGGGCAGGGGCACAAGTGGAGGGCAAGGCTCTGAGTGCCATGTTCTGCATTTTGGCTGTAGGGTGCTGATGGCCAGTGGGTGACCCCCAACCTAGGGCTCCCACGGGGGTTTGAGACAGATTTGGGGCCCTCCCTTAGTCCAGAAACAAAAGGACACTTCTGGAAGCGATAAAGAATGGTTTATTCTTTTCAGAGGGCTGGAGGGAAAAGAGCAGAGGGCTCCCTCCCCTCTCACCCCCGCAGCAGGCATTACCCACACACAGGCAGCCAGGGATGGGCACAGACCCTGGTTCGGGCACCAGCCAGCAGGGCCCGGAGGAGATGATGAACTTGGAAGCCACAAAAAATAACAGGGCAGGGAGTCACTGTGGTAGCAGCAGAGATAAAAACCCCAGAGAGGGAGGCCCAGGGCAAAGTGCTAAGCTGAGCAAGGGATGCCCCAGAAGGGGAGCATGGCCTCTCCCCAGGGGTGGGCACCTGGGCTCCCTTTCACACCCGGGAGGGCCTAGAGGAGCAGCCAGCCTGGTCCTGACCACAGCCTCCTCTCCGAGACACCAACACACACAAGCAGAGACAGAAAAACACTGAAGGCTGCAAAACCTCATGCATACCCCACCCCGGGGCAGCCCTCGCAGATAAACCTCCCCTAGCAGGCAGAGCTGCTGGTGCCACCTCCGGTCAGTCACAAGTGCCAGGGACAGTGGCTCTGTGCCTAGCTCCCTGCAGGAAGGACAGCTGGCCTAGCCCACCAGCTTGTTCCATAGAATGGTGCTGAAGAAGGCGTGGGACTTCAGCTTTGCCATGCCACCTCCTCCAGAGCCCAAACGCCGCTTTGGGTTGTACTGTAGAAGCTGCAGAGATACAGGATGGGAGAGCAGGATGGGGAGAGTAGGACACTGGAAAGGCCACCCAGGCTGGACCCTTTAGCCCCATGCTCCCTCCCATCCACCCAAGCTCCTCACCTCGGTGAGCAGTGATGTAGCAGCCAGACTGAGCCCCTCCGGTAGATGCAACTGGGTGTGAGGTTGAATCCCTGAAGGGTGGTTTTGGGACAGAGGCTGAGGAGGCACAGGATAATGGTGAGCACTGAGGAGGGTAGGAGCACCCTGCTGAGCCCTCACCCCCACACAACCCCAGCTCCACACAGCAGGATTTAAAACCTGGGGCCCTGAACACCCAGACCATGCACAGGCACTGGGAATCACAGGCCTGAAGTAACCTGGCACAGTGCTGAGGTGCCAACAGGGCAAGGCACCCTCCCAGCCCTGCATGGCAGGGTGCTCTTGTGCTACAATATCACCTTCTCCTCCCCACCTCCTTGCAAAGCTCTTCTGCCTCTTACCACTCCTGTCAGCAACTCATACAAGAGAGAGCCAAAGCTCCAGCAGTCAGCTGCTTCGGTGGGCTCCGTGATCCCCCCCACTTCTGCAGAAAGAGCCAGAGGCATTAGAGCTGGGGGCAGGGAGCAGCTGTGCCATGCCAGGCACATCTCACTGCCTGCAGAAGCCCCCTCTCCCCCAGCTGGCAGCACTGGGCTGAGGGCAGGAGAAGGCAGGGGACACATCCCTTACCTGGGGCACTGTACAGCTCTTCCTGTGCCTGGCTGCAGCACAGGGGCTCCACCTCTGTCCACTGGCCAAAGAAGGTGAGACGGACGTGACCTGCAGAGCAGCACCACAGCCAAAAGCAAGAGGTTAGGATAAAGCTAGGGGCTTTGGTCAGGACACAAAGCCAAGCCCTGTCCCCACAACTGGAACAGCCAGGGCACTGGGCCCCCCGCCATGCCCTGAACACAGAGGCACTGTGCATCCCCTAGCTTGCCCAAGATGCCCAGCAAGCCCATGCAGCTGGTGAGACTGGGTAGGTGGGCTCCAAGCTCTCGGACCTTGGGGCAGGCTGTAGTGAGGAACGAAGCAGTGCCAAAGGGAAGAAAGTTAGCTTTCCCCTTGCAAAGCTTTCTGCATTTTTCTTTTCCTAAGCAATTTGTACCTCTCCAGTGTGCCCCAGATGTTGCCAGCTGAGCAGGGACGTGTCCTTGGCTTGCACTGACAGCAGTACCCATGGCTTGAAGGGATGGGACGGCTCCAGAATACCCCAGTGGGCAGTAACTACAAGCAGGGGAAAACTGCAGTCCCGCTAAACTCAGGCACAGTTCAGTTGGTCTCAGCTTCCCTGTGCTGGGATTTCCCAGGCAGCCAGCCCCACGTGGGAGCAGGGGCAACAATGCATTCCTGTGGCTGCAGCCCCTGACTCTCCCACTGCGGAGCCATATCTTGTAATAACCACTTGGAAATCCCAACGGAGACCACACTTCCAGGCTCAGAAACATCCAAACCTCCTCAGGCTCCCCCCCTCCCCCAAAGCAAACTCAAGAAAGTCTGTGTTTCCTGGAAATGGAGCAAACAGCAGCCTCCCAGCTGAGAGGCCAACCTCTTCCTCCTAAGGGCAGCAGCCTTGGGCACTACCTACCGGCTGTGTCAAGCAGCAGGTTCCTGGGGTTGAGGTCCCGGCACAATATACCCTGTTGGTGAAGTCCCTCTAAGGCCAGGAGGATTTCTGCTGCCCACAGCTGCACCTGTTCCTCCTTCACAGCCCACACTCTCCGGCCTTGCCCACGGGAAGCCAGAGACCAGCACTGTCCTGATGGTGGCTGCCCTTTGAGCTGGCCACAGGTCAGGCTTGTTCCCTGCGAGGGCTTCTGCACAGCTGGGTCAGGTCTGCAGTGCTTGCCAGAGCTGGGCAGGGCAACTCCTGCACGAAGCTGCCTCTGACCCGAGGAGGCCAGGGGAGGCCAAGCCCCGGGGACTTCAGACATTTGCTGAGGTGTCAGCTCCCCTGCCCCTGGCTGGCCTCCTCTCTCAGTCTTTGGTATGAGGCCAGGTGTCTGGGGAAGCCTTTCACCAGCATGTGGCCCGGGGTCTTGTTGGGGGGCTGCTCTCTCCGATATGCAGCCCGTGCCACTGGTTAGAGCATCCCAGGGGTA